GTGAAGCATAGGCAATGAATTGTGTAAGGTGTAATTAGTTAGCTAAACATAGGACGGATAGAAAGTCATATTTAGTGAAGCAGAAGGATTGCCTTGACATTTTAAGATTTAAGAGATTAGGGCAAAATAGAATCAGATAAAGTTGAAATAATTATTTTAGAAAGGAATGACTGACCTTTTAGCTGCAACATTGTTACTCAAAAATGATCAGTAGTGGTGTGCAAACTATGATTTTATTTTACTCATTTTAGTGGTCTCTAGAATATGCATCAGATGGTCAACTAGGAGATCAACTGACATATGCTGAGGGCGGTCAACATGACCGTCTCCAGACTTCCCATTAGAGGATGTTTCCTTTTCTTCTTTTTTTTTGTCATTTGTTTATCTTTTTAAGATTATTGAAAGATTTGCAATTTGATACCATACAGTCCTAAAATCTTCTGATCATCCAACACATTCTGTCTCCCATGTTCTATGATATTCTCACTCCAAGTCACATGTAAGCATTGTGATCTAAAAGATTTTACCACTTGGATTCATGATTTTCCCTTCTTCAAATTGGTGATAGATTCATGCAAGCATCCTGGTTTTCTTGCAGGTTATGTGCCATCAGATGGCACATGTCTCCCATGCTCAGGAGTTTCTGGGAGAGCAGTCAATGTGTCACCTTGCTCTTCTCGTGGTGACTACAAAACCTTTTCACTGGTCAAGAATGTAACTTTAAAATGCGATTCCAAGAGCAACTCTTCAGTATGCAACGCAAGCTCTAGTAATCACAGGAGAAACCAAGATTTCTCAAGGCAAAACAAGCACGGGTTTTCACGAAGCTGGAACAGGCAGAATGAAGAGAGAGATGGTTATGAGAATGTTGAGGAATCTGAAGTGTTCTCTTCAAAAAATGGGCCATTGTTTTCTGGCTCTGGTAGCCCAAAATTCCAAGCCACATCATCTCCAGGTCCAAGAGAAATGGAGATTGTTGAACTATTCAGAAAGGTCCAGGCTGAACTTCGAGAAAGAGCAGCAATCAAGGAAGAGAAGAAGATTGAGGATTCGCGAAGTCAAAGTAGAGAGAGCGAAACTGTTGATTCCCTTCTCAAGCTTTTAAGGAAACATTCAGTTCAACGAGGAAAGAGAAGTAGCAATAGCAGCAGCAACAGAGACTTCATTTTGGACCAGCCTGAACAGAATGGTCCATTCTCTGAAGAGAAAAGCACTAGCATCTTTGACTCCAATAACGCCGCAAAACATGATGCCTGGCACAATGAAGGGGCTTTAAGCAGACCAAAATCGAACTTCCAACGTAGATCTCCAATCCCTCAAATGAAATTCCAGCCCAGTTATCCTGATAAAGGTACTGTCAATTCTGTCTCAGAAACAAACATAAATGGGAGAAGAAAGGAAACTAGTCCCAAGCCTGATTATGATCACGAGCCCAAGCTTATGGTTGAACCCGAACCCGAACCTGAACCTGAACCCGAGCATGACCCTGAGCCTATTTTTTCAGACGGGGATGTATTTGATGAGATGTCAGAGAATGAAATATCTGATATTGAAGAAGAGGATAGTGATGATGTTGAAACAGAAGAACAGAATCTAGTTCAATTGAAAGACTTAAGTGGAATGAAGTTAGCTGAATTAAGAGCTCTTGCAAAGTCTCGTGGCCTGAAAGGGTTCTCAAAGCTAAAGAAACGTGAGCTCCTGGAGTTGCTAACTGGGGGCTGAATCTGATTCATTGATACGTGAACATGGAAAATGAACTTACCATGTTCAGAACATGTTTACCTGCACCTTTTTTTGTTTGCATGTCATACTTTCACTTTTCTCGAGTTTATGTGATATTCAAGTCAGTGACCTAATCCTTTGGAAGATTTGTGTAGTGGTGGAGTTTCTGTAGAGTATGGAGTTTTGTTTCCTTAATCTCTCTTGATCACTAATGGACCTCTTGACAGGGTTAGATGTTTTCCTACCGATTTTCTGCTGTTAATTTTTATATTTCATATCTTTCTTTCTTACTCGTGTTTTAATGCCAGATTATTTTCTTGATTGTTACTTGCTGTGTGAGATTGTTCAATCTGGAGTCTTAACTACTGATGTGTCTGTTAGAACTGCCCTTTTCCAGCATTGACTTTGGGAAAGCAGATATGCAGCCCCACAACAGCTTGAGTAGTTACCCGGGTGATCATCTGAAAGAATGATTAGCCTTGTTTTGGGTTTTCTTTAGTTGGAAACAGCCCTTCGATGGACAGTGTCTGATAAATGGGATCCTTGATGAAATGGTGGTTGTCCTGGCTTCAAAACAAGTGGCTGTGACAAGAGTTTGGGTAGTGGAATGCCAATTCATCACATTGTGGATTTGCATTTTTTTTTTCTTGTCAAAGTTTGTCAGTTTTAGCCAAATTGAATCATTCACTCTTACGGTACGAGTTGATTCAGTCGGATAATACATAAACTTGCACATTATTAGTTCAAAGTCTTTTGGTTGTATGAAATTCGAGTTTAATTGGTGCAATTGTAGTAGTAGGCGATTGTCCACGACCGACGTTTGCATCACAACTATGAGCACTGTGTATGTAGTCGACACTATACCCAGATATAGAAGAGAAAAAATGATTCATTGTTAGGTTTGTTAAAAACTTTGGGTGAATTCCAATAGATTTAAAGATTAAAAAAAATGGTTTAATTTGATTAAAGTTACTAAAATATAATTTATTTATTTTTAGTCCTTTTTGTAAGCCATGTGTGAAGTTTAATGTAGGACATAAGAGTCTGTTGTAAGCATTATATATTTAATTATATAAAATAATTTTTAATTTATTTATTTCTAAATTAACAAAGGACGCGTAGTACACCAATTAGCTCAAATGGGGCCGCTCTGTCAAAATTAGGAACACAGCTGTAGTGAAATATGTGATTAGGTAGCATTAGGTTTTATTGTATTAAAAATGCACCCAAATCAGGTATCCTATGATCCTATCTATAATGGAAAATGTTACACAAATTCATAGGGCCCACAAATTCTTTTCGAGAAAAATGCCCCACAAACACATAATCACCCCTTTTTTTTTTGGTTGATTGATTTGATAGTTGATTTGAATTTGTTATGCTGTATTTCATGGAATTTTATTTTTAAAAATAAAAAAAAAAAGAGAAAAGAAAATTTTCAGTTATATTTCTTCTAATTTAATATCTTTAAACACGTTCCTCTCTATTATCTAAAACATCACTGACATTCTTTTTAATTTATATTAAAACATCAATAATACTCCTGCCATTAAATTATCATTTCTAACAAAAAAAAACATTTAAAATATTAGAATTACCCTTACATAAATCTCAAACAAATTTTTTACATAAAATTCGAGCTGATTAAAATTTTTTTTTTTACATTTTAAAATTCAAGCTGATTAAAATTTTTTTTTTTACATAATAAAATTTGAACTGATTAAAATTTAATTCAAGCTGATTAAATTTTATTTTTTTACATATTAAAATTTGAGGATATTAAAATTTCTTTTTGTACATATTATAATGTGAGTCGACTTGAGCTTAACCTAGGATGTTGACATTGATTAAAATTCGATTCGAATCGATTAAAATTTATGTTTTTTTATATATTAAAATTTGAGTGGATTAAAATTTATATATTTTTTATGTATCAAAATTTGGGTTAATTAAAATTTAATGCGAGTTGAAATTTAATCAGCTCAAATTAAATTTTAATCGATCAAAATTTTAATACGTAAAAAAATTTATAAAAATAAAGAAGGTCCCATTGAAGATATGTCTATATAGAGGGGTGTGGATTAAGTTTTTCCTAAAATATATCATGAGTAATTTAGTAACATTTAATTCTAGTTAAGGATTTTAATCTGACCGAGGGTATTAATGAAGAATAAAAAAATAGAGGAGATATCTTTGAAGATATGATAAATTAAAAGATGTGTGACTGAATTTTTTTTTAAAAAAAATGATATAATGTATATAATATAATTGTTATATAATAATATTATATTTCTTCTAACAATTTTGATATTTTTATACATATCTTTATAAAATCATTTATTACGACTTGTGTATAAGTTGGTTAAAACTTCCATAATCGTAATAAAAAAAAAGCATAAAACTCTCATTACAAATAGATATGCTATTTTTTAATATATGGTGATTTTTTTATTATTAAAAAAATTTAAATAAATTGTGTACTAGGTAATTAAAAGTTAAATTTGTCAATTTGAGGTGTTTGTTTTAGTCGCGGAACAAAGAAAAATACTAAGCATACTAAAATTTTTACCAAAAAATGCTTTTTTCACTCTTCAGCATAATATTACATCTGGAAACCTACCGTTCTACTTCTCTGCAACCCTCTCTGTTGTTGGATATCACATCATTCCCTTTTATCAGTTCATTAAAAAAAGTTGCTTACTTTTTGTTCCATCTAATCATCGTTTTCAATACTCCATTAAATTCTCTCTCCTCTTGCTTCTATTAATTCCATCACTCCACCATTAAATTAGATAAAAGCCACCTCAACACCAACAATTCTGCAACTATACAGGGTCCCACCAATTTAACTCCTCTCTTTCTTTGTTTCCCAATCTTTATTCATGGTTCTTGGCTTCTTGCCACTCTCTCTCGCTCTCGATGAAGCCCAGCAAAGATGGTTGGCATGTTCAAGAAAAGGGTTGTACTTAGTCTAGAAGAATGATCATATTGGTAGAGTTTTCTTGTTAAAAGTTTTTTTTTTCTTTGTTTGGATTCATCAGGATCTGGTTGTGGGTACGTTTCAATTCTACTTTCTGGGTTACCTATTAAAGGCTAAATCTTTCATGAATTTTATGGTTTTCTTGTGATTCTTGTGTAATACTTGCATGGGTTGTAGATAATATTGTTGGTTTTTCCTTCTATCCTGTTTTGAATGTTTTCTGAGTATTATTGAATTTCATGATGTCGTTCAACAAAGTAGTTTAGTCATCCTGAGAACATTTGTAGTGAGATTATTTTCCCAATTGGGTTGATTTGCATAATTTTTTGGCTGAGGAAATAGTCAAGAATTTGTTTGGGATTGAACGTAAGAAATTGTGTATGTGTACATAAATGAATTTACCCCATGGAAAAGATTGTCACTCAAAAAAGCATTGGTTCTCATATATTAGTAGAAGTTTCTTTTCTCCCTTTCTCTTCGTCCTTGTTCATATAACTAGTTACAAGATACAACAATTGTTCTTGAAAGAGTGTCATTTGGGGAGGTAAAGGAACTTCATTGATTTAAGTTAATCCATGTACAAGCAGCGCACTAAGTGGTACATTCTCTATAGAGTTTTCAAAAACTACCAAAAAAGCAACACCTGACTGTTTAAGTGTGATGATTTTCTTGTTGGTGCCCTGTTTTGGGTACCACGGCAGATTCGTGTGCGAAAGTCCGAAAAATTAAGCTCTGACATTAACAAAATGCCCAAATTACAAAATTAAGCCTAAGTAGCAGCAATTGGTTCTTCTTTTAATTCTTAAACTTTAAGGTCATGATTCTGTTCATTACAGTTTGCTTGATTGTTTAGGGGAGAGATTGAAATCCTTGAAGTGGTTGCCATGGAGCCTGCCATTCCTCTCCCTCCATAAACTGTAGATTGTAGCTGATAAGCTCAACTTCATCAGGACTGACATCAAGTTTTTCCCTTTCCATTGCTGTGCCGCCCATATAATAAATTCAAACCAATGTTTGGGTTGCCGTTGACAACCACTTTGTAGCATGACCTCAGTCCAGATTCTGTGTGAATAGGAGCGTTCAAGAACAAGTGGTGATGTGATTTGGGTTCCTCTCCACATAATACAAAATCAACCCCCCCAAGTTAGGGTCTTGAAAGAGTCATCACAAATATAATCAAAAAGGTCTTATTTTGCTATTCTTGTTGATCTTTTCATCTCACAATCATTCCAACTTGCACATATTACTTAAGTCGTTGCAGATTTTTAAAATCAGTTGAATTTTGTTATTGTCATAAATGTTGAGACCTCAGATCTAAGCAGAGATGAGTCTGATTCATAAATATTGTTATTAGTGGCTCCATGATATATTGTGTATTCTCACTTATTAATTATTATGTGTCTTGAATGGTTTCTTTGCATCCACTGATTGCATAAATTGACAAAAAGGAGCAAAATCACAAAAGAAGAAAAAGAGGCATATGTTTAATTGTATACATTATACAGGCTATAGCTTGTAGGTCATTTGGTGATGTAGAAGAATTGGATATTTTTCCTGTATTTCAATTTTGTACTTAGCGACAAAAAATGAATGCAGAAAAGTTATACCTGTTATGCCACAAGAATAAGAATAGTTTTACGGCTCATTCCCGATGACTATTTGAATTTGGAGCTGGGTTGAGGGTACCTTGTATAAACATAAAGCTTGTGGATAGTGTGCCATAGTAACTCTTCTGCCTTCTTATGAGATGACTTGAGTGTCTTGCTTTGAGGATGGAATTGGAGTAGAAGCTTTCTAAGGCTGCTATGACCCCCATCTTGATGGGTGTTCCATGTGATGCCCCACCCTTCTCCAAGGGGGAGGTTCCATTTATTTTTAGGGGAACTACTTCTCAGCAATGAGCGGCCATATGCTGACACCATTGACTGGTGCCTGCTGGCTATATGCGGAGAGCTTTGTGGACTTGCTGCAGATCTTGACATGTCTGTGGCTATTAATATTATCATGTGTCATGTTTTTCGGTTAATTTGCTTCATCAGTCTCCACTTCCATTTGATGCCCTTGGACTGGCTCTTCCATGGAGACCGTGGGTCACCCACTTCCTCCTTTCCTCATTCTTTCTGAGATTGCTATATGCTTCTCTTGAATATGTGGGTCTTCTATCCATCTTCATTTTGCTTTCCATGCCTCCACCAATGGTAGGATCAGAAAATGCGAAGATACAACGAACACTAAGAGGTGATTTTCTTGATAAAAAATGTTTTAGGCCAGTATTTCTATTTTTAAAGAGATTTGAAATAAAAGGGAACCCTGGCTGATTCCTGATTATGTCGTCATGCAGATGTTCTGATACTGCAAAATGTCCGTCCATTCTATCTTAATTGGCTTTTGTATGTCTTTATTGTAGAAAATTTAGAGTTGACACCATAATTTTATTTTACTCTATAAGTTCAACTTCTATTTATGCCTGCAGGGAAAGAAAATGCACACAGAAGCAAACGAGGTTATACCATTAAAGAATGCTTTGCCCTGTTCAAAATTTAGTCAAGATGCAACCAAGGCCGTTGTGCTCTAAAGCAACAGACACTCCTCCCATTTTGTCATCACAGACTAGCCATTCTTAAGGCCACTGATTGTCGTGATAACCAGCCTGTACCAATATATTTTTCCTTTTTCTTTTGTTACTCTCTCTCTCTCTCTCTTTCTCTCTCTCTCTCTCGCAGCCTGTACCAATTTGTTAGTGTTTTTGCTATATTAATGTTCTGACTGCTGTATAAACAGGTCAAATGGATCCAATATCTGTAAGATGCCTTATTAACAGCATTTCGCGGTTCGTTCATCTAGTCTCTTGCTGCACATTGAAGTCTATGCCTACTCAGAAGGATTACAGAAACATAGCCTGTTTGTTGAAGCTTTTGAAACCAGTACTTGATAATGTTGTACAAAGGAAATTCCCTTCAGACGATATATTATGTAAAGAGTGTGAAGAGCTGGATATAGTTGTTAATGAGGCTAGAGAGTTCATGGAGAGCTGGTCTCCAAAGATGAGCAAGATTTGCAGTGTGAGTCCTCAAACTGTTTTATTGGATTCACTTACACCAGGTAGAGTGATGCCAACAAGAATAGCATAACACAGAAACAAGTACACATAACTTGTGCTTACGTACAACATACTCTCACAATAGTCTCATTATTTAAGAATGCAGTGAACTCCGTTTTCTTAGAACGTTTTTAGCAGCAATTTGATCACTTCTAGTGATGCAAAACTTTGTTTGGAACCCACGTTAAATGAGTCACCGTCTTTAAATTTCACTGCCTTATTAGCCTCCCTTTCAATACTTAACTTCTCTGGAGCAAAAATTACACTTCAAACTGTACAAAGCTATTATGGGCTTATTATGTTGTGAGATCCCCAGTATTCATTTCGTTATTGATGTTGGTATCAATGGGAATATTACATAACAAAGAAACGAAAAAGTAGAAAAAGGCTGTTAGCAGAGCATGGGGCCTTGAAGTATGTGTTCAATTTCTATCAACCAATTTGAATGTTTTGCATTTTTTATTTTTTTGTCATTTGATATTCCCAGGTTCTGCAAAGTAAGCCCCTGATGCTAAAAATCCAAAGCTCCTTGCTTAAGATTTGCAATATTGTATGTACATTATTGAAGTCATCATCATCAAACTCAAGTTTAGCTGATATTCAGGTATGCATGGGTTTGGAGTCTATTTCATGCTTCTATTGATTTTTATTGCTGCTACTTATTTCTGTTCCAAAGGATTCTTTATGATGAGCTCCTTTATTTGATGTGTATCTTTTCTCCTTTTTGCTTTCGGTTCTCCTGTGTTGTATTCATCTATTATTTGAAGTCTGGTATGCAGCTTCTCTTATGCAGCCAGTACTATTTTAGTTGCCTGGTGCAGTATGCCAAGAAACAAGAGCACTACTGATTTATGGTAATCTGTTTCAGCACTGTATTCACGAATTTCACAGTTTGAAGCTGGATATTATATCAGAACGCTTGGGAGAGGTTCTGAAAAGTCAAAGAGAAGGGCTGATTCCTGAGTCTGAAGATCTACTAACGATCATCAAGTTGCTTAATTTGACATCAAACCAGGAACTGCTGAAAGAGAGTATTGCCTTGGAAAAGGAGTATATGAAGGTCAAAGACAACAAAACTGTAGGAGAATTAGTACAAAACAACCACATTGTTGACCTTATGTCCCATATGCGCGATTTCATGATTAAGCTTGAGGGTTTTAAGTCTATAAATGGCATTCCCATCCCTTCATACTTTCGCTGCCCTTTGTCGTTAGGACTCATGCTGGATCCAGTGATTGTGGCTTCTGGCCAAACCTATGAGAGGGCTTCCATCCAAAAATGGCTGGATCATGGATTGACCATCTGCCCAAGAACACGTCAGACGCTCTCACACACAAATCTTATTCCAAACTACACGGTGAAAGCTCTTATAGAAAATTGGTGTGAGGAAAACAAAATAAAACTGTTCAACACCTCGGGGTGCACCAAAATTGTCTCAGTTGCTTTGCAATCTGAAAGTGTATCTCCACAAGATCTCCTTCATCTCGAAAATGTCGGTTGTTCTTTACAAAGCAGCAATTCTACATCAAGTTCCTCCCTTGACAGTGCACATGGGTCTGAATTGCAGAAGGTTGATCGATCTTCTAGATTTAGAGAGGAAGAATTTAGTGTTTGCCAGATGAGGGAGACTGAAAACTTGGAGCAATCGACCCCTGAACACTCATATATTCATAGCAGGAGTGAATCAGCATCCAGTGCTGTTTCCAACGTTGATTATTTTCCCCTTGCATCAACTGATGTCCCTGGGATATCCAGTGAGCATGATAATGTGAGTGAGTTATCAGGAAAGATAAATTTTGGGTGTGCACCATCTTCTTCTTTGAATGGAGATTCAGGATGTTCCCCTCCCTTGTCTGGAAAACAATATCACAGCTCCAAAACAATGGCCGAAATGGCTGTCAATGGAAACCATAGCCACCTTAGAGCACTTTCTCTTCCATCTGAAATGGGGTCTAGTGATTTAACTACGAGTTCCCATGTTGATAAACTAGTTGAAGATTTGAAGAGCCAATCAAATGCATTGCAAGCTGCAGGTGCAGCAGAATTACGTTTTCTTGCAAAGCACAACATGGAGAATCGTGTCATCATAGGCCAGGCTGGGGCCATTGCACCATTGATTTCACTGTTACACTCAGATATGAAATTAACACAAGAGCATGCTGTCACTGCACTTCTGAACCTCTCGATAAATGAAAAGGTTAAGAACAAGATTGCAGAAGCAGGAGCACTAGAACCACTTATACATGTTCTAAGAACAGGAAATACAGGTGCCAAAGAGAACGCAGCAGCATCTCTGTTCAGCCTTTCTGTTTTGCAAGAATACAAGGTAAAGATTGGCCGTTCCTGTGCAGTTAAACTACTGGTTGATCTTCTAGGGTCAGGCACTCTCAGAGGTAAGAAAGATGCAGCTACTGTCTTGTTCAACCTATCAATCTTTCACGAAAATAAGGCTCGTATAGTTCAGGCAGGAGCTGTGAAGTATCTGGTTGAGATGATGGACTCTGGATCAGAAATGGTTGACAAGGCAGCTGCTCTTCTTGCAAACCTGTCTACTATTCCAGAGGGGTGCTTGGTGATTGCTCGAGAAGGGGGAATACCATTTCTTGTTGAGATTGTTGAGATGGGATCTCAGAGAGGAAAGGAAAATGCTGCCTCTATACTTTTGCAACTGTGCATTAATAGTCCAAAGTATTGTCGCCTTGTTTTGCAAGAAGGAGCTGTCCCACCTCTTGTCGCATTATCTCAGTTTGGCACGCCAAGAGCCAAGGAGAAGGTATATAGCTTTGTCTCTTCTTCAGTTATCTACTTATCAAAGTGTGCCATAAAATTATGGAGGCCGCTTCTGTTATATAACCCGAAGAGGGTAGAACATAACAAATGACTTACTATTACTAATACCCCTCCCCTTTTTTGGAAATGACAACAAAGCTCCCCATATGTAAATGGGTTGTGCTCTCAAGCTGGAGAGCAGCTCTCCAGCCTGTGATATTCTTCCAATCATATTGTTTGAAATTGAAACCTTATAAAGAGCAATGGGATGAGAGAGATAATACATTTTTTTTTTAAAGCAGGCACAACAGCTACTCAGTCACTTCCGTAATCAGCGCAAAGATGGTACTGGGAGGGGAAAATCATAAAAAGAGAAATTTTGTAAATTCTTACCCGCGGTTTTGATATTTTATTTTATGTAAGTTGCTCACCTTAGATTATATCTGTAGTAGCCTTTTACCCAAATTCTTTATTTTCCAGCTATTATTACCATCTGTGCTGTAGCCATGAATTTTCATGACATTGAAATGGAACTAGATTGTCTGCTTTATATATTCAAGTAGGTTTTCTCTTTGCTTTGGTCACCTACCAGTGTTATAGTTAGCTTGTATATAATCCTTAAAACTTATGTACTTTGCTCTGTCAATATTCACCTGTTACAAATGGCGGGATTAAAGATGGGAAGAACCGGAGATCAGTGTATGCTTCGTGTTTTTTTGATCGTTATGGCAAAGATTAGTTGTTTATTGACGCGCGTTCTCTAAATGTCGTAAACCATGCTTGATTGCTCTTCTTCATCAGCTGAATCAAATACTTCTGATATTTTGATTTTGGTACACATCTTTGAAATTTGTGACTTAGAAGTTCAACCTCAGGTTGTGTTTAAGGTGAGGCTGTGCCATTAACCACTTTAGCTAATCGCAGATCTCTCTTCCACAACGGCTTTGGCAAGACTGATGATACCAAAAATTAGCTAAGGCTAAGCTCAGCCCATTTTACAGATTAGGGGTTTACCCCCACTAAGGGCCCACAACATAATGTCCAAATCTAGTTGAGCTAGCTAAGGTCGGGTGACTAAGATGACCTCTCAATCCTTAGCTTCCCAACTAGTCATCCCAAATCAGAAATCCCAGCTCAGACACCTCAGCTTAGATACCTCAGATCAGACGACCTAGGTTGGACCTCATAGTTCAGATCTTCTAGCTTGAGGCTTCCAGTTCGAGAGGCACAGGTTGGGAATCGTCACCAACCTGACCTCGTGTGTATTGCGATGATGACAATTCACACTTTCAAGAGGGTCACATTACACTTATGAAATGTTGTCTCTAATGGCCAAACATTCTATCACATGGGTTGTAACAACCCCAAGGGGATTACGTTGATCACGCAAGGATCACGACAGTTACGTAAGGATTGCGATGATTTTGCAAGGTCACAACATACTATAAATGGGGATCAAATCTCTGACATTGTAATAAATCAAGTGTCCATACATTGACTCTCTGTAATTCCGTAACTTTCTTGCCCGAGTAATAGAGAATTTCCTAAGGAGCAAGAGATTCTATTAGAGTGAACTGACCAAGTTTTCGAGCTGGTGAACCACTATAAACCCTCTGTCTATTAATTTCTACTCACGGCTATTATTCTTGAATTAATTGTTCAACCACTAATAGTCAAGAAGCTCTAACTGGATACTCTAGTAATCTCCATCAATGGATCCCCAATTCATTTAGCTTTACTCAATCGTGTAGAATGCACCATCAGTTTGGCGCAATCTGTGGGAAACAATTGTTTCGATTTCTGCTAAAATTCTATTGATCTTTCAGTAATTGATGGTCTCTATGCGCAACATGAGCAAAAATTAAGGAAATCTACTACGGATACAGAACTAGCAAGAAGCCAATATCGTGGGACAACAGAGAATTCTGTTGAATCCTTAGCTAAACCCAAAAGACAATCTGCTAATGGTAGATCCCCCCTAAATAATGAATTCGAAGCACTGAGTCAAGCCAATGAGCATCTCCTCCAGCAAAATGAGGATCTAGTAAATCTCATCCGCGCTTAGAATCTTGTGGGGAGGGGGCACAACCAACCCTAGATGATCCCCCACGAAGGCATCATCATCATCAAAATCCTTTGAAGAAAATTATAAAAGAGAACGATCTCAATCACTCGGCTGATAACATTCATCACAGAGTCCCGAGAAATGGGGAGGGAGATGAGGTCCAGAGTCAAATTAGAGGAGTTCACAGAAACAAACGCATCCCAAATCTTCTCCAACAAAATGGGAGGGATTAATTCTGGGAGCGACGTTTCAAAGAAATCCAGCAGGAGCTAACATAAAGGAGGCGGTGAAAAGCAAAGCTCCGATGACCATGGATGCTCTAATTCAGCATACAAAGTTGTCATTCACCCCCAAGGTGCTACACTTTTCTCTTCCTAAAATATTAAAAATGCCTCAAATCAAAGCATTTGGCGAGACGAAGGATATCATGGACCACCTCAACACATATAAGAATCAGATGGAACTGCATGGATGCCACTATCTAGTGCGCTGTCGAGCCTTTGCTATCACTTTGAACGACTCAATCTTGGCTTGGTTCAATAGGCTAGCCCCGACTTCAATTTCCTCTTTTAGAGATGTCTTCATCTCATTTGTGTCTCACTTCATAGGGGCTCGAACTTACCGAAAGCCTTCTTACCACCTGTTGAGCGTAAAACAAGGTTCAAATGAATCACTGCAGAGCTATGTCTAGAAATTCAACTCGGAGTCGTTAAAAGTGGATGCCCTCGATGAGAAGCTTTCCCTCACAACCTTCTTCTTTGAGTTAGGGGTCCAATCAAAGGATTTACTGTTTTCAATTGCCAAGAACCCCTAGGCTAATATGTCCGAGTTGTTGGCAAAAATAGAGAAGTATATCAATGGTGATGAAACCTTCCTCTCAAAAGTTAGGAACTCCTCTACTCAGAGAGAGAAGGAAAAGAAAAGGGATCGGAGTCCTAAGAAGGATCGAAGTTGGGATTGATCCCCATGGAGAGGTGGAGATCGTTCCCTAAAGAGGAGAAGTGACATCAGAGACCGCCTGGGTCCCCCTCATTAGGAGCTACAACCGAAATATGCCCCACAAAAATTCACCCCCCCTCAACACCACGGTATCACAAGTGTTGTATGAGGTCCAAAATGAGAAATTCTTGAGGTGGCCACCTCGGATGAAGGCGGATCCCCTCAAGCGAGATGCAACAAAGTAATGTGAATACCGCCAAGACCAATGCCACCATATCGATGATTGTATCCTATTGGAAAAGAAGATTGATTTCTCAGTCCAGCCAGGTCAACTGTGCCGCTTTGTAGCATAAGATAATCAAAACCGAGCTAACCCACCTTCTGCTCCACAACAGCAAGCACCACCTCAACATCAACAACCTAAGTAGGGTTATCTCATCTATTGACCCAACGATCATAATGCATAAACTCAACGTTGACCCGACCTACAAACCCATAAAGCAGAAGTGAAGAAGTTTCGCCCCTAAGTGCCAAAAAACCATACACAAATAGGTCTCTAAGCTCCTCCATGCCAAAGCCATCAGAGAAGTTAATTACCCAACCTGGTTGGTAAACATGATCCTCGTAAAGAAAATCAATGGCAAGTGGCGGCTCTACATTGAATTTCACCAACCTAAACCATGCTTGCCCAGAAGACAATATTCCACTCTCACAGATTGACCTAATCGTAGATGCCACAGTTAGGCACGAGCTGCTCAGCGTTATGGACGCCTTCTGAAGATACAACCAGATCAGGATGGACCCTAATGACCAAGAAAAATCAACATTTGTGCCTGAGAATGGGACATACTATTATTACCAGGTCATGTCATTCGGGCTAAAAAATGTAGGGGTAACCTATCAATGGTTGGTGAATTGTATGTTCTAGGGACAGATCAGATCATCTATGGAGGTCTATATTGATGATATGCTGGTTCAGATACTCAAGCAGTATAAGATGAAGCTCAACCTTGCAAAGTGTGCCTTTGGGGTCTCCGCAAGGAAATTGCTAGGCTTCATAGTCAACAGTTGAGGTATAGAGGTCAATCCAAAGAAAGTCCAAGCGGTGATTGACTTGTAGTCACCCACAGAACATTGAAAACAACTTTCATTGGGATGAGTGATGTGAAGAGACATTCAAAGCTCTTAAGGAATACCTCGGCTTGCCTCTAATTCTAGTTAGCCCTCGAGAAGGGGAAGTCCTTACCTTGTACTTTGTTGTGTCAGATTTCTCCACAAGCGCAGTTCTAGTAAGGGAACAAGAAAGAGCTCAGTAGTCAGTCTACTATTATATTAGAGCTCTAAGGGGGGTAGAGGAAAGGTACCTAAAGATGGAGAAACTAGTTCTAGCCCTAGTGACAACAAGAAGAAGGCTCAAGCCTTATTTTCAAGCTCATACGATAAAAATCTCTACAGATCAGCCAATGAAATAGATCTTGCACAAGCCGAAGTCATCTGGAAGATTAGTGAAATGGGCAATCGAGCTTAGCAAATTCGACATCAAGTATAGGCTCAAAATCGCCATTACGGGGGCAGGTTTTAACCGATTTTATTA